GCAAGTTGTTTCTGTAGTCCAGACCATGCTTCTCCAGACACCCTACTATCATTTTTGTCAAATCCCTCAGCATCCAAGCTTTCTGCTGACTGAAAGTGAAGGAAGCTTTCATGTATGGCACCACTGTAATAGTAACGAACTACTAAAGATATTTGTTCTTTCTTTTGTAAATCTCTAGCCTCGTCTGCCAACACACTGAACACCTCGCTTTGTTTAACTTCAGCTATGATTTCTTTTTGAACCATTTCAGCCAATCCCTGCAGAATCTCATCTTGGATTTGGTGGCTAGTATACTTTGCATTGCCATGTGCATCTAACCTTCTCTGTACAAAGGGGTCATGCTTTGCAATTTCATTCAAAATGGCTAAAAAATTGCCTTTATTGTCAGAGTCATCAGACTCCCTGTGACCCCTTTGTGCAATATTTTGAGATGCTGTTAATAGTAACACCTCAGCAAGTGTTTTAATGTATTTTTTATTTTCTTCAACTTTCTGTTTCCTACCCTCATTTAAGGCATCAAGAATAGATCTGTTACACTCGTTGACCTTTTTGTACTCAGTCCAGGCATACATTGCATTTATGTGCTGCTCTGATTGTGAATGAACTTTAAACCCAGCATCCTTAAACAAGGCTTTTTTCCAGTTGAAAAAGCCTGCTTCAGATGTGAAGGATGATTCTGTATAACTAGGGAGGGAGAAATGCCTGCATGCAAAACAGTAACTGGCATTTTGAGATACAGAGTACTCAAGCCATGGATTGTCTTTGTACCAAGAGCTGTTGAAAGCCCTTGTTCTTGTTCCATGCTGAGTTCTTGGGAAGTTTGACAGACATGGCTGAGCTGGACCTTCCGCTTTAGTTCTTGAGATGTCTGGAATAAATATTAGGTAATTATATTAATTATTTTAAGAGTATTTTTGGACAGACATCTCAATAAGTTAAGTTGTAATTAGTTAAGTTTCTGTAGCATAACATGGATAGTGTGTGCCTACCAACAGGTGCTTCTGGTGTGCAATAGGTTGTGCTGGGTGGGGGCAGTTCAGTGCCATTTCCTTCTGCTTCACTGTCTTCCTCCCCAGAGTCTGACTCTGTATCACCCTCATCTCTCTCTGGAACTTCATTGGAAATGCATAAACAGACACAATTAAAAAGCATCATGCTAACCTTTAGAATTAGGCTTATTGGATTTTAATACTTAATAACTCTCTATCAGCCTCTAACCCGCTGGTGATCCACTTGGGCCTGGAGTCTCCTGGCTGGATTCTCCAGGTTGGTCACTGCTGCAGGGTTCTGTCTGGTCCTGGTCACTGCTGCAGGGTTCTGTCTGGTCCTGGTCACTGCTGCAGGGTTCTGTTTGGTCCTGGTCACTGCTGCAGGGTTCTGTCTGGTCCTGGTCTGGTCCTGGTCACTGCTGCAGGGTTCTGTCTGGTCCTGGTCACTGCTGCAGGGTTCTGTCTGGTCCTGGTCACTGCTGCAGGGTTCTGTCTGGTCCTGGTCCCTGCTGCAGGGTTCTCTCTGGTCCTGGTCACTGCTGCAGGGTTCTGTCTGGTCCTGGTCCGGTCCTGGTCTGGTCCTGGTCTGGTCCTGGTCACTGCTGCAGTGACCAGGACCAGGTTTTTGCCTCTTTAAGAAGAACTGGGAATCTTCCCTTCTCTCTTCATTTGGGCTCTACACAAAATAACATCCTGGTATTTAGACTCCATGACTGTTTGGCAGAGACAACATTTTAACTATTATTCAAACTATAGTTTTTAGTTTTCTGTAGCTAGCTAAAATACTAAATAAAAAATAGATTAATTAAAATTAATTAATATAACTAGTGAGGTTATAATTCAAAGCTTTCATATGACATAGCCTACTTACATTTCAGTCATTATAAAACTTAATGGTTTTTCTCATATTCTTTCCACACATTTCAAGCAAGAGCTGGGAGATATAAAACATTAGAGGGCAGCATGTCACTAAAACATGTTAAAAGAATCTGTCTAAAACATGATCTATCAGCACTAGCATGGCTAATATAATAAACGAGGCACTACGCAGCGGTGCACAACCATTTTGTTTCTTTTTAGAAATGTATGACAAGTGCCGCCTCTCATTAGGAAGGTAACAGCGGTTACTGCTGAGCGGTAAAATGTTGGAAATACCTGCAAAACTCCTGACGGTGTAACTCTAAAGCCGTTGATGTGTTTTGGATCAAGCAGGAACCACATGTCAGTTTAACCAATGAACAGCGTCGGGCATCGGGCTGCCTTCAGGGACAGTCGGAAATTACAGTTTTCCTGGCAAATCTTTGCCGATCTCATAAGTATTATATTTTAAAATGACCATTTCCAGTGGGGTGGCACTAGGGGGGGCAAGGGCTCTGTTGGGGGTGGCAAGTGCCACCCCGGCCCCCCCTCTGGCTCCGCCACTGATATTGTGACACATTTTTTCTAAAATGATCTAATCTCATGATGAATGCAGAATGCTAGTAGCCATTCTTAGCATTGTTGCAACAGGAAAAGCTTTGGGCACTCTCCCAGGGCTGCATATGGGGGGCAGGATTTGGGATCATAAGAGGAAATAAAACTGAATCTTTTCATCTCTTTGCTCAAATAGAGGTTAGAAAAGATACATGTAAGTGTTTAGCATTAACCTAATAAATATAAATCTGGAACATATCAAGAAACTGATGAATAAAAGCCACAAGATGAAACAATAAAGAAAAGTTTCATAATTAAACTAAAGTTCTGCAAAGCTGACAGTGCAGAAGCAGCTTCACTGCAGGCTGGGATGTTCCTGCTGCATCGGAGATTTAGGTGTCTTTTTCCTGCCTGAGGGAAAAAACAATCCTGGAAATTTTCCTTTGAAATTTAATGGATACCAACTGGAAGAATGAAGAACATGGAGACTCAATTCTCATTTCTACCACAGTAAATGTTTAATGTTTATCATCAATTCAAAGTGGCTAAAGATTAATTATTCTCAGGCTTTGCTACTTTTTCCACCAATCAGAATGCTCCTTTTTTATCATTTAGAAAATCTGTCTTATAAAAGTTTGCTGAAAATAAAAACATTTCAAACAGACAGAGATGCACGAGAAGCAGAATAATGATCTTTTATTCCGGTGCCATCAGAACCTGAGGAGAAGCTGCTGTTGAAGGAGCAGAACCTCTTTCTGCGCTGTGTTTCTGCGCTCAACGACGACTTTAATTCCCTGGTTCTGCTCATCGTTTTCTGGACCGGTCAGCAGAAATCGCACAGAACCACAATCACCTTCAGACCTGATGGCCACAAACCGCCAGAGGAGGATTACTCAAGATCATCTGCCTGATTCGACTGCAGCTGCTGTCCAATTCAAAGTTCTGGAAATTAGACCCAAACAGCTTCATCACAGATGCATGATGGTTATTTCTATTGACGCAGCATCAGCGTCACAGCGCATCCTGTCAGATGCTAACACAGCATCCAATGCAGTGGCCAATGAGATAAATCATCACACAACCCGGACGAGCCCCCAGTTTGTCACGAACCAGCTCACCGGCTGCGACCAGCGATGGGAACCACTAGAAGTAGTATCCCTAAAATACTAATAACAGGCTTCAGGTCTGCTAAAGTATTAGAACAGGATGGTATTCAACTTGAACTACTGCTAAGGTGCTAAACAATAAGTCCAAGTTCATGCTAAAGTGCTACTGCAAAATAGAAATTAGTGGACATTAATGCAAAATGCTATCAATACAGTATTTAATGGAAACTAACAATAAAAAATGCCCTCTCAGTTACTTTAACAAACTTCAAGTTAAGAGCATGAATATAAACTTCTGGGAGAAATCTTAACATTTTACAATCAAACTTTCAACACAAATGCTGAACTTTATTCAACTGAAAGTTTATAAAACAGAAGTTTAGCTTTAGACTTAGAAATTAATTTAGGGGAAGCTAAATGCTCTTTGCTGTCTGAACGTCAGCGCAGCCTCCACCCGCCTCCACCCAGGTTTTCCCAGGCCTGCGCTCCCAGGGTGGTTTGACCTGACTTTCTGCCCCGCGCTGCAGGGACACAGCGTCTCATTGTCGCTGGGCCCACGCCGCTCCGCTGGATCCACATGGAGGTCAAGCAGCAGGAGAGGAGTCACATCTGATGTTCAGGGGAGAAGCCTGGCTTTATTTTATTCTACTGGAAATAAAGTAATAAATACCAAACAGAAACTTTCCAGAAGGGAGGAGCTGGAGCCAATATGCTTGCTGATGTGAATCCACCTCAGCTTTCTGTAAACTGGACTTTACAGCTGCTACTGCATGAAGAACAATCGTAAAAATCGTATTTATGGGGTTTTGGGTCCCAGCTAAGATTTATAAATGTGTTTCGTTCAAGGCAACTTCCTCTTTCAGCTGAATTTGGTGGAAAGATAAAAACAACTTTTCATCCTGTTTATGATGAATAAATGTTCTCATATGTTGGCACGCAGGTGAAACTAAGACAATCATTAAACCTGAAATCAACTATTCTTTGCAGATAAAGTCTCTAAATCGGTTGTTTGTGGTGCTCTCTTCGTACTTTCTACAAATTGTAACATTTTGGTTTAAATTTGTTCTGAGTGGAATGTTTATATACAATTTTAATAATAATAATAATTTATTATTTATATGTGTTTTTATATTAAAACATTTCAACTAACTATATAGCTATTATGTATATTAACATTTGTTTATGTATTCCCGTTTTCAGGAGGATTGTGGCTCTTTTGCCCCGACGGTTTTCTGTAAAGTCAGATTTTAATGTTGGTGTTCGATGTTCGATAAATGCAAATTAATTAATCTTGATGCCTCAAAACACACAACAGAGTTAAATAATAGATTAAGTTATTTGTTCTTTCAGATTTTGTATTTATTGCTGTAGATCTGCAGAGCTTTCTGGGTTATTTTGGTGAAGTGGCGTCATCTAGTGGTCGAAAGAGGGATCGTCCTAAATGTCTCATCCGGGTGATCAAGTCAGCTGATCAAAACACGGAAGTGTTCGCAGCTGTGCAGCTTTTGGAGGACTGAGTGGAGAATGTGAGGAGCAGATGATCTGCTTCCATGTGGAAAACCTGCTTTTTGTTCACTTTTAACGGTTTTCATCAACATTTAACGGTTAAAAGCGACGCTGGAGCGGAACCGGTGAGTTCGGACGGACTGGAATCAAACAGTTCACTGAATTATTGGTTATTTTAGATTAACGTTAGAAACTCAAACTCGAATGATTTCAGCTGAAAAGAGTCTTTAACGTGTTTGCTCTGTATTTTCTGCGCAGCCGCAGTAAACTCAAAAATAGATTAAATAATGCTGCATTTTCTTCAAGCATTATTTGCTTTAGAAATGTATTACAATTTCTGTCGTATGTAAATATTTATCATCTAATTGTTTATTTTTTCTTAAAGTGTATTGTGGTTTAAAAGTGCATTTTGCCAAAAATGTTATATTTATATATTATCAGATTTTTATTTTTTAAAAATTATTTACAAATTAATTTTGTGCTCTGAATTCCTTCCATCCAGTTGCATTTTTCTTTGTTGAGGAATAAATAAATGAATAAAAACATTTAAATTGACCAAGATTGAATAAAATTTTTAATTCTGATGTATTAAATGCATAATTTTCTCAAAATATATTGTGGGGGAAAAAAACACGTTAAAAAATAGAAAAATAAGTACATGTGTAAAATATAACACTAAAAATCAAGTTTATTAATTAATGAATGCAGTTAAAAATAAAAGGCAAATAAATGAACAGTGAGTGAAATTTTATTGTTTTTTCATCACGTTGGTCACATTTTTAGTAAATTAATTATTGATCCTTCAGAATATTTCTCTAATTCTCCTTTGAAGGTTAACAGGCTCCTCTCTGCAGTATCTGATGATGACGACGATGAAGGTGTTTCGCTGTCCTGGCCGCCATGGTTACGCCGTGGAGGCGTCGCCGTTCCTCCCGAATCGACTGGCCTGCGCGGCGTCCCAGTACTACGGAATAACTGGTCAGTGTGGAGAGATGAGAAATAAATACGAGCAACAAAATATTACATTTATCTGAAACTTTAAAACAGAACCTGGTTTCCTGCCTGTGATTCCAACTTCCTGCAAAAGATTCGCATGAAATAACATCAGAGAGAAATAACCTCAACAAATATTTAAGATTAGATAATAATGATTGTTATTTTAATGAAAAGAAAGAATATTAAAAAATGCTGAATTAAGATGCAAAATTCAATGTAAAATCAGATTTGGTAAATAATATCAATAAAAATAGTAGAAATGAGAAAATAAAAATAAATCTAAAGTGTGAATAAAAACTATCAAACTCAAAATTAATAGTAAACTAAATTAATGAACACATGAGTTAAAATTACATTAAAAAGAGATTACTACATTAGTGAGAAAAATAATAATTCTTGATATAATGAGGAATAGAAAGTTACTGCGGAAGGTAAACTTTTTCAGGTGACTCAATACGATAAATATTAAAAATAAAAACAGAAATATTTTAAATTAGTATCTAAAAAATAAGAAAACCTGAAATCTAAATAATTATTAATTAAATGAGTAAAATACCTAAATGTTTAAGAAAAAATAAATAAAGCTAATATATGAACGAATATAAGTATATAAACTCTTTATAATCATAATAATATTAATGTCTCTGCAGGTTCTGGATCTCTGTTTGTTCTGGATCAAACTGAAACTGGGGTTGTTTTAGTGAGAAGGTAAAGTTTCTGGATTCTTCATTTTTACCACAAACAGGAAGTTCAGATGTGTCCAGATTCAGGTTAGGATGTGTGAAACTCTTAGAAACGCTGAAAACACAGAATGAATGATGCAAAATCCAAAATACGGAAACAAAAAATTCAAATGTAGCACAAAAATGCTGCAACCACAGGAAACGGAAGCAAAAGGGACAAGCTCCACAAAGGAGAAGTCCTCCAGGCCACCAGGGGGAGTCTAAAGCCGGCTGTGTTAGCTACATAAATATGCTACACAAATACGCTGCTGCTTTCTACAATTGTAAAAGCCACTCAACTTTCTTCAAAAATCCCTTCATACCTGAGTTTGTAGTTCCAGATGAAGTGTCAGCTCCCCCTGCTGGTCTGGAGGACTACCATCTGTGGAGTCTGTTCGGAGCGTTTTATTTTCGCTGATTTTTTTTGCTCGTTTCATGTTCTGCTGCATTTTAATGTCAGCTGCAGTTTGGTTCCTTTCAGCCACCAGGGTTTAAATCCTGCTGACAAACTTTCATGTTCAGAGTTTCTGGATGATTTCCAGAGATTGTATTGGACTTGGGCTGCTTTTCACTCTCTCTCTCTGTCTCTGTGTGTGTGTGTGTGTGTGTGTGTGTCTCTGTGTGTGTGTGTGTCTCTGTGTGTGTGTCTCTGTGTGTATGTGTCTCTGTGTGTCTCTCTGTATGTGTCTGTCTGTGTGTGTGTGTGTGTGTCTGTGTGTCTCTGTATGTGTCTCTGTGTGTGTGTCTGTGTGTCTGTGTGTCTCTCTGTATGTGTCTCTGTGTGTGTGTCTGTGTGTGTGTGTGTCAGCTGGCAGTGGAGTGACGGGCTCTTCGACGTTGCGTGGAGTGAAGCTAATGAACACGTCTTGGTGGCGGGAGGCGGAGACGGCAGCCTGCAGCTTTGGGACTCAGCCAATCAGAGCGCTCCGCTGAGAGTGGTCAAGGAGCACACACAGGAGGTATGGCACACACACACACACACACACACACACACACACACACACACACACACACACACACACACCGCTGTGACTGATCGGTGTGTGTGTGAAGGTTTACTCTGTGGACTGGAGTCAGACCAGAGCAGAGAACCTCATCGCCTCTGGATCCTGGGACCGCTCTGTTAAAGTGGTGAGGCTCCGCCCATTTCTTTGAGGCCCCGCCCTTATTTTACAGTGGCCCCGCCCATTCATTGTGGCTCCGCACATGACTCTCCTCTCTCTCCTGAAGTGGGACCAGAATCTCGGCAGCTCCTTGTCCACGCTCAGGGGTCATGAAGGGGTCGTCTACAGCTCCATCTGGTCTCCTCACATCCCAGGATGCATTGCTTCAGCCTCAGGTCAGCCATCGCTCCCATTCTCCATCAGGAATCCCAGAATTCCCAGCATTCAGCTGGGAAGACTAACAAAGCTTAGAGTTTGTTAGTGGCTTTTGGCCACAGGGGGGCGCTGCTGCGAGGTGAAAGTAAATTCGTCTGATCTGACCGAAAATGATTCATGGGCGAAAATATTTTCACTCATGAAATCTGAAAAATGTGGCATGCCCAGCTGTAGTTCAGGTGTCAGTGATTTTAGCGTTTAGATTTTCTATTTTCTGAGCAGAATTCAGACACCGGATCCCACCGGATCCTCGGAGCTGAACTGGGTTCTGGGTTTGCTGGAAAAACCCGGTTCTGCTGTGGAAAGCAGCAGAACCTGAGGGATCCTGGTCTGATGGCCTGGTCTACTCAGCCGGGTCGGGTTCTGGTCCGTTGGATCTACATTATTTATTCATAAAAAAGTTGGATTTAAAAAAAATCACTTTCTTTTTTACTTCTATTATGACTTTTTAAATATTTAAAGAAAAATGTTTAACTTTGCTCCTTTTTCTATTTTTTATTTTTCCAGCTTTTTTAATGTGATCAAAAAACTGAAATAACTTTTTTCTTTCAGAATTTTCTTTCTTTCTATTTGCGTTTTTTAATTTATTTGTGTAATATTTCTTATTTATCTTTTTTTATAACAGCATTTTTTTTCTATTTTTGTTTTTGATCTTTTTTTATTTGTTTAGTTTATTTTACTTTTTGGAAAAAAGTATTTTTTTGTCTTTCTTGTTTTGAACTTTCATTATTCTTTTGAATCTGTTACTCATCAACCAGTCGGGTTCTGTTGGGTCAAAGTGATGGGTTCTGGTCCAGTCGGACTGGTTCTGTTTTGGACCTTCAAACCCTGAAGCCTTCGGCTCTTTGTGGACCCGACTCTGGCCGGTTCTGGTCCACCAGAACCGACTGCAGCTCACTAGACGGCCGGCGATCCGGTTTCTCACAAACGCTGTTTTGTCTCTGCGGTTTTCTCAGAGTCTCAGTTCCAGCAGGAAAATGTGTGGCTGATTATTAAGTGTGACGTCATGGCTGCATGTAGCGAAGGTTAGCATGTAGCTTCAGCTGCTGGCTAAACGTGGTCATCGCTCCACTAAATGCCAACACAGTGTTGGCTAACGCTAGATGCTAGTCAGGAAGTGATTCTTTGTGACGGAGCTTCCAGGTTTCAGGTTGTGGAGTTTTGCTAACTGCTGCAGCAGCACTTCGGTCAGAAAACATACAGCAGATTTTAAACCGTTTGCTGTGGAACTACAGCAATGCATTCTGGGTAAAGGATGATGCCCTCAGATATTGATTCATGTTTGCCTTGTTCTCTACTCTCTGTTTATTTTGATTGAAAGAACACGAGGACAGGAAACAGAACTGCTTTCTAAACTGACTTCAAAATAAGAGCATGAATATAGATGTCTAACTACTTAAATAATTCATAACAGTTTAGAACCAAAACTTTAAACTCAGATGAAAATGGCAAAATAAATCTGGAAAAACTAATTTGGGGGAAGCTAAGTGCGCTAAAGATTGCCAAGGTTAGCAGAAATGCTAAAGTGGAAAGTTAAAACTTAGCTAAGCTGTTAGCGCCGCTGTGGTCACTGCATCCATCAACTGGACAGTTTGGAGGAGAAACACTGAAAACATCTGGAAATGTTTTTTACCATCTGCATGGATTCATCTGAGTTTAAAACCTAAAATCTGCAAACTTCTCCAGATTCCTCTCGAATCCGACACATTTTCAGTGAAAGCATCTGTGTGTGTTTTCAGTCACTGGATTAAAGTCATATCAGCAGTGGATGGCGGTTTTGTTCCTGTGATTGTTCTGATGCCGCCCGCGCGATGCGGCGCTTCGCTCCGTAACGATGCTGCTGCGGATTAGCCGTGAAGGTGGCTGCGTTGCGCTGCGGCTGGCAGCTTCCTGCTCACCTACACACTCGCTGCCATCCGCCTCAACGCCGCGCAGCTAATGAGATAAAGGCTGTTTCAAAACATGCAGATGAAAAAGAAGCAGGGATTATCTGCAGGAGAACAGGACTGATCAGGTGGGAGCTGCTCTGATTGGTCTGGATGATGATCGTCAGCCAATCAGAGCGTCTCTGTGTGGGACGACTTTATCCTCATATTGAATCTGTTTGCCTTTCTTACCTTTAATCCCTTTAGATCAGATTAAGCAGCGCTTAGACATTGTGCGAAACATCATGAGTTTCAGCACAGCGGACTGAGACCAGAAGGTCAAAGGTCGAAGATCTCCTCTGTCTCTACGGCCATTCTGAGCATGTGCAGCACTTCAGCGATCGAGACACCAGTCTGCTGTGCTTCCTATTGCCAGACTAACAGGAAGCACGCACACCTCCAAACTGCACCCATCCCGGCTGTGCTGGTTGCTAGGCGACTGAGGGAGGGGGCAGGGTTTCCAGGCTGGTTTTTAAAACGCCAGTCGTGATTATATCAGCAAAGTCACCAACATTTCCATTCAACACGATTTTTGCTGCTGAATTCATGAATAATTAGAATTCATGAATTCTGAAGATTCTTCAACCTGACTGCTATTAGCGATGTAGCGTTAGCATCTCTGGTTCCAACAACGACAACGCTACGCTAACCTGAGGGCCACGAAACGCCACCTCAGCAAAAACAGCTGGAGGAAAAGATCCTCCACAGACGTATCTGTGTGTGTGTGTGTGTGTGTGTCTGAGTGTGTGTCTGTGTGTGTGTGTGTGTGTGTGTGTAACTGTGTGTGTGTCTGTGTGTGTGTCTGTGTGTGTGTGTCTGAGTGTGTATCTGTGTGTCTGTGTGTGTGTGTGTAACTGTGTGTGTGTGTGTGTGTGTGTGAGTGTCTGAGTGTGTATCTGTGTGTGTGTGTAATTGTGTGTCTGTGTGTGTGTGTGTCTGAGTGTGTGTGTGTGTGTGTCTGAGTGTGTGCTTGTGTGTGTGTGTGCTTGTGTGTGTGTGTGTGTATCTGTGTGTGTGTGTATCTGTGTCTGTGTGTGTGTGTGTCTGTGTGTGTGTGTATCTGTGTGTGTGTGTATCTGTGTGTGTGTGTCTGTGTGTGTGTGTGTCTGTGTGTGTGTGTTGTACAGTTCAAACCCTTGTCACATCAGTGATGATGAAAGAAGCTGCTGATGCAGCACAGATAGCAGGTTTAACAGAGGACTGACACGCACACACACACACACACACACACACACGCGCCCCCAGGCCTGGTTAACGGTGGTTAGCGGTTTAGCCGTGTTCTCCGCTGCAGCTCGCTCTCCCAGCGGTGTCTCTGTGCAGGTGAGAAAGAAGAGTCATTGTAATGTTTGTTTTGTTTTTCTTTTCGTAATTGTTTTGTCCGGTGGCTCTAGTGGCCCGTGTTTTTTGAAAGTAGGCTGAACCCTGATCCTTCAGAGAGACCACCACAGCGCACCAGAGCGACTGTAATGTTTAGTCTGATGTTTGTTTCTGTGCAGCAAACGATCAGAAACTGATTAGTGCGGCTGAGAGTCTGGGTTGTTCTGATGGATGAAGGTTTCCAACATGGCGCCGCCTCTTGACTTTCTGCAGTCGCCACATTTAGCTTTTAGCTCTCAGTTCACGTTTTGGTCAACTAAACATTTAAAAATAAAACCCATCAAACTTTCAGAAATCGACTCATGAA